CAGGTCACAGGGCCTTCAAGGCCACCTGATGATCACCACAGAGAAATTCAGAAACATGAGGCTCTAGGCCCGGGCGGCCTTGCCCTCACTTAAGATCGCAGCTAGTGTCATTTATTCTAAATATTTTGCGGAGTAAATTTTGTTCCAATTTTAATTTAAAATATTAAGATTTTAAAATTCATTTGCAGAAAAAAAAATCCCAATAGCATTACAATCTCATGGTTGGCATTCACATGATTGCTAGCACAGTCGATCCCCAAAAGTCATTACTATCCCCAGCATCAAGACATGACTCTACCCGTTCCCTATCAATTCCTACTCCTTCCACTACTGTGAGATTTGCAGCCCTTTGTAAATGTAACATGGTCCCAGAATCAAGCGGAAGTGGTCAGGGCCATCTGCATGTCATTTCTGTCTCCCACCCTCACCCTGCTCCATGTGCATCCCAGGATCATGTGACCCAATGCCCTCCCTACACTGCCCTTCCCTTCTCCCACCTGGAGGAGGGACACTCTCCAGAAACTGGGGGCTGGCCTTGGGCCCTGCCTTCTTCACTGGGGCAGCAGCCAGCAAAGGAAGCCAGAGGGGCAGGAGGGTGAGTGGCCCCCTCCTCAGGCCTAGCGCCCCACCCACCCAGCCGGCAGCCTGTCTGCCTTCCTGAGCTCATTAACTGCAGCTCACCGTTCAGCAGGAAAGACAAGGCGTGGGTTCTACGGGCGTTCATTAACCGTGAGAGGAACAGTGTGTGTGAAATTAGCAGTCACCTGAGGACCTCGATAATTTCATAATTAGGAGGCCTAATGGCACTAGCTCTGGATGCCAAATGACTTAACCCCTCGCCTGCTGGGCCCCCAACCCCCAGCCCAAGGCTGCATGGGAGACCGAGCAGTACCCACTCTACTCAGCCCCCCTCTCTAGGCCAATCACACTCATCTCAGCCACTCCAGCACCCAGTGCAGAGTTGGCATGAAGGAGGTAGAAAGCAGTTTATGGAAGGAATGAATGAATGAACAGGTGTCTGAATGGGGGAAGAGCCCCTGATGCAGGTGCTCAGGGAGAGATGCTCTGGAAAGGGGTGAGGAAGGGTTCCCCACGTGCATGAATATGTGGGCGGCTGAGCACATGTCTCTTGATGTGAGCACACATGCACGTGCAAGCGTGAGGGCACACACACGTGGATCTGGGATGTCGTCTTCTAAGAACAGTGTGTGTACCTATGTCCAAGCTGCCATCTGTGAGCATATTCTGCTGCCTCCTGTTTCTGTGATGGAACCCAGGTGCCTCCCTCAATGCCAGCCTCTCTTGGCACTACCTGAATAATTGTGGCTCCCGAATGTCTATATGGGGTAACTTGGGGGCACTTTTGACTGGGAAAGGGCTCCTACCTAGGGAGCTTGCTTTGGCCCTGCATTTGCATAGCAAGTGTACTACTTTTACTTAGATTGAATATTTATTTGGGATTCTGGGAGACTAATACTAATAATGAGGGATGAAAGTTACACCCTAGCGCAGGAGAAGCAAGTTAGGACAGTCTGCAAACTCACTGCCCCCCAACACCTTTCTGTCTACACTCCACCCAACCTTCCCAGCAACCTAAGCACAGGAAGGCTGAGGTTGGGGGAGGGGCTCAGGCTGGAGGTAGGTCTGGGAGCACTGATTCTGAGCCGCTGGGACTCTGCCCAGTCGTACAGAGGAAGCTGGGAGGAGCTGAGGGGGTGAGAGGGAAGGAGGTGAGGAGGGAGAAGGGGAGATGAGAACAATAAAGGAGTAGAGAGGGGATGGTGGAAGTAAGGGGAGGGGAAAGGATAGGAAGTCTGAAGGAGGTGAGAGAAGAGGACTGGGGAAGGGAGGGAGGCTGAGAGCATTATCAGCACTTAAAAAGCGAGCAGCTCAGTTTTTCTTTGGCACAAATAATGGCTTTTTATGAATAAATCATGTGTCAGACGCCTCCCAGGGAGTGGGCATGGAGGGGGGTGAGTCTGCTGGGCTTCAACGCTGGTGGGGAAGGACTAGAACCAGACCCAGTGGTAGGGGTGTTGCCCGCTTTCTCCTGATGGGCCCCAGCAGGACTGACTCTGTCTTGGGAATTGTCACTGGCTTGAGCTGGGCTGAGCTCAGTCATTACTCTGAGGTGGTCTTGTGCTCCTTAACCAGGAGCTGGGCTGCATCCCAGGGGCTGAAGCGTCCTTTGCTGCCCTCCCCTCCAACAGACAGCGGAGCAGCCCAGCAGCCCGGAAGACGCTCCTGGCAGGGGAACACCAGCCTGGTGCTCCCGAGAGAGAGGGATGTGCCAAGACAGGCAGGCACGCCCAAAGAGGGAGGCATTCAGTGAGCATGTGGGGGCTCGGGGAGCAGCTCACAGGCAGGCCTGCACACACACATGGGCACACTCAGAGACAGATACATGTCATTCACGTGAATACACATCCTCACTCGTGTGCATATTTAACAGGGAAACCTCAACCACCACCCAGCCTGCTCCCCACCCCACTCTAGCACACTCACTAACACCTAACGCACACGCATACATACACACGCCCACACACAGACACATATGGGCTACATGGACACACACAGACCTGCATATGTACACCAGCAGCCCACCCTCAGGCAGCCTAGACTAGGGTCAGCTCTGCAGCCCATATGGAGCCCAGAAGCAGCTGGGCCAGCGCAAAAAGTCTGGTTGTGACTGGGCTGGAGCATCTGTCCCAAGAGAAGGCCTGTCAGTCTTTAGGTCATTCCCACTCAGCAGGGACACCCCCATTCCACAGCAGAGAGGTCTCAGGCCCAAACTCTGAGCCTGAACCTGTACAGATTCTGCTGGCTGAGAAATCCTTTGCTTTCCTCTCACAGGCCCCGCCTTGGGGGAGGGATGCTAAAGAGAACCTGAGGTTTGAGGGCAGTCAGGGCCAGGGACCCTGGCTCAGTAGTACGACCTCAGAAAACGACTCTTAGCTTTTGATGTCCTGGTTTTTGAGACAGGTTCTTACTCTGTATTCCAGGCTTGTGTCTAACTTGCAGCAATCCTGCTTCAGCTTCCTGAGTGCTGAGATTATAGGTGTGTTCCAGCTTCATCTTAACTGTTCCTCAAACAAATCTACAAGACAGGTGCTACTGCACCATCTTCCAGACCAAGAAAGTGAGGCTCTGAGATAGGAGCCCTGGGCATTCCTTTCTAGGGCCTACTACATTCTTTCCCCAGACTCTAGGGAACTTCTGCATCCTGGTTCCCCAGTTGTTCCTTCTCAGCTGATGCATCCTTCTTTGTACACTGAAGGGTTTTAAGGTGTTCATCAGGGCAAACCAGGATTCTTGAGAACTTGTCTGGAGATTCTAGCAGGGGAGTGCAGCACCTCCTATACCCCTGACCAAGGAACCAGGAACCCGTTCTCCTCTAGTAGGGTGCTTGTCCTACTCCACCCTGCAGCAGCCTCAGGAGAGATGCATAAGGAGTGAGTGGCCACGGAGGAAGGGGACACCTGCCTAGGCAGCCGGATCAGCCCAATCAACTCCTGCAATTAAGGGGATGACAAGATATTGCAGCCAGATCACCCTCACACCCAAGACCTGGTTTCTTGGCTCATCCCACTGTGTCACACAACCCCACCCCAGGCCATTCCTAGCAGCCTGTGACAATCTCTGTGCTCCTGATTCTCTGACCTCCCTCTCCAGCCCCGAAATCTTTTTAGGCACTCTGACACCTCTCTCTCCAGATGGACAGCTCCTGGCCACTATATTACCCAGTGCCATTCACACCACAGAAAGGCTCCAGAACTTCCTTCTCTCCCTGCTCCTAAACCCCAAAGATTCCCATAGGAAGTATTCAAATGGAGCCTGTCCAAACCTGGGCAGACATTTCCCCGGGGCTCTTACTGGCTGTGTTCCCTGTTTGCTCAACTACTGACTCCCCTTACTCCTCATGTCCAATCCATATGACTCAACACTCCAAACGCATCTAACACATCCTTCCAGCCACACTGTCTTCCTATGGCCTGGTTTGTGTCCCCATTTCCATCAGCACCTCTGACCTGGCCCTGTCTTCCACTGTGGCCCCCTCTGGCCCACTTGCCTCCCAGCCACTGCTTTGTTCTGGAACCCGCACGCTTGCTTTCTAGACTCGGGGCCATTCCCTCTCCTGAATCCTTCCCTTTCCAATGCCAATTCATCCCTCAAGGCTATGCTGACATAACACTCCTCTAGGGCTGCTTCCTCCTGGGGTCTCTCAGCAGACTCCTGGCGCATCACTGTTCTTACCCATAATTGCCTACTTAACAATGGGTGCCCCCACAAGCCTCTGAGTTTCTCAAGGGCAGAGACTGTGCTTCCGCTGCTCTCTACGGCAGTCCCTGTGCTGAGTGTAAGAAGTGGCACTTAACAGGTGCTCACTCAATTTTCCTTGAAGGAACTGAGGAGTGCAGGACTTGTGCTGAGTACTCTGTGTACCTTTTTTCATTTACTTGAGATGGGTGCTTATCCAGTGTGCTGTAGCACTGGTCAAGAAACATGAGACTGAAGATGTGAGCAAGGTGACGACACTGGTAAACAGGAGGGAATGGATTCCAACACAAGTCTGCATCTTTGAAGGCTTTTCTTTCCCCTATTGCCATTCCACCTTCCCAAGTTATTTTTCCTCTCTGCTCTTGTTTTCTCATCCGTACAATGGACACAAAAATTGGGCACAAAAATATGTCAAATACATGATCTGGCACAGAGTTTTTGTAAACATCAGTGCCTTCTCTTTCAACTTCTAAGGCTTAATTCAGGATAGTTTCTCTAGACCCAAAATGTCCTGCATGCACATGTTTAGAGAAATAGGGGCAGAGCTCCAACAGGCAGGGTCTCCAGCCATGCCAGGAACTCTACGGCCATAAATTGAGCAGACTGACCTCGGCGAATGCTGAGGTGCACTTGGGCACAGTCACAAGGGCAGAAACACTGGCCCTGAAACCCCAATCCCTGCCAATTATCCTCCACAGCCCCCACTAGCCCAAAGCATGGGAAATATTTAAAACAATTTTATTCATGAAAATATGCTGTACAATGCACTCTACACGGCCTCAACACGGCACACACGCACACGCACACGCTGACGGCACAGCCACAGTACACTGCCTACAATATGCGCGGGGGACGCCACGCCCACCGCCCGCCCCGACCGGACACTTATAAATATGGGAGAGAGGGGCCATTACTGGCACGGAGAAAGGGGTGTTGAACTTGGGGGGATCCGGAGCTGAGGCCCACTGGAGAGGCTGGGATCAGCACTGGGGCTGTAATGGGACTGCTTGACCAGGGAAGGGGACTCAGCCGGCTAAGATGGGAGGGAGGCTGAACCGTTGGGATGAGGGTTTCGCAGGGTGGCACAGGGCTGGAGTTGGACTGCTCAGGGTGGATGGCCAATAGATGTGAGTTTTTGGAGGGTTGCTGGCTTCAGGTAGTGAGACCAAGATTGGTGGAAAAAGGTGTCTATTGGGGCTCGCAGTTTGAGTACAGGTCCTGTTACTGCAAGGCCTGCACAAAAGAAAGTGAAGATTCAGAAACGCCCCCTACCCCTTGCCCCCTCTTCTATGCGGTTCCATAATCAGCATCCACACCTAGCGGCCCCCTCGCTCTTCCCCACTCTGACCAGGCCCAGATTTCAGTCTCCTCTCCCAGTTTACCCGCCCAGGAAGGAGATGCTAGGCTCAGGAGTGGGGTAGGAATGGTGGGGATCCCCAGCCCCGCCTTTCCATGCCCCACAGTGGCCAGCTTCTGAGGGACATCTCTAGCATGGCCGGGGCTGCCTCCGGGATCCTCCCGCGGATTGGATCGGGGTTGGGGACCCGGGGATCAGGATGGGAAGACAGAGGCCCCTTGGGGACGGGACCGGATGCCCAGGTCGCAGGTGGCAGCTCTCAGCCCGGTACCCAGCTCTGGTTAGGGGGCGGGGCCCCGGCCAGGCCGGGTGGCGGTGGAGGCAGGGCTGAGTCAAAGTTGAAGTCCATTTCATCACTGTCCATGAAGTCGTTGAGGATGATGGACTCAACGTCGCATTCCAGGCTCCCGCTGAACATGTCAAGGTCCAGGTCCGCAGGGAAGCGGTCCGGCGCGGCACCCAGTGGCCCGGCGGCGGCAGCATACGGCCCGGGCAGCCCGTCCAGCAGGAGGCCGCCAGGCGGGCCCCCAAAGGCTGCAGCATGGCCTGGCGGGCCCAGGCTGGCGGCTCCCGCATCGCCGGGCAGCGTCATAAGGCTGATGGGGTGGGCTAAGGCACTGCGCGAGGTTGCGGGTGGCGCGTATGGGGCCGCTCCCTTGCCAGGGTAGGGTACTGCCGCACCAGCCAGCGCCAGCTCCCCAGGCGCTCCCAGGGTTGGGCCGGGCCTTGGCGCGGGCGGAGGCGGTGGCAGCAGAGCGGGCAGCGCTCCGGGGCGGAAGGGCGTGGCGGCCGGTGCAAAGCTGGCCTGCTTGTTCTCCTGGATGGTCTGCATGGGCAGGCGGCGCAGCGCGCCCATCGCCGGCGGCCCAAAACCCCCTCCTCCCCCGTAGGGGCCACCTTTGCAGCTTCCGAAGTAGGCCGGCGTCCCGCTGCGGGCCCGTGGCCCGTAAGTGTCCTGGGCGCCGTCCAGCAGCGCCTCGGGCAGCCCCGCACCGCCGCCGTGCAGGCCTAGTGCGCTTCCCAACTCGGCCAAGCGGGGCAGCTCCCCCGGGCAGCGCGCGCCCAGCGCAGGCGACAGTGCGCTCGCGGGACTCGGGTACATGAGTGGCGAGGACGGCGCCAAAGCCTCCAGGGCCTCGTCGTCCTCCAATTCGGCCGCCTCCCCCAGCAGGGGTCTCCCGCCCCCGCGGAAGTCGGCCCAGGCCTCGTAGTCGTCACTGGCGTGCGAGGATGGGCTGGCGGTCCACTTAGCGGCGGGCAGGGACCCTGGGGCCGGCGCACCCGGAGGGCTGTCGTCGGGGCTTCGCTCCGGGGCCTGCAGCTGCTTCTTCTTGCTCGCCTTGCCCTTGATGCGCAGGAACTTGGCCCCATTGTCCATGGACACAGCCCTGCGCCGCGGGGTCTTGCCCGTCTTTCCGCCCTCGGGGTTCAGCATCCACCAGGAACTCTTGCCCGTGCCCTCGTTCTGCACGCGGATGAAGCGAGTGTGCAGCGACAGGTTGTGCCGGATGGAGTTCTGTGGCCGGAGACAAGGGTGGGGGTCGGGGAGGGGAGTGAAGGGGCAGAAGGGAGTTAGTGATGGCGAGAGGCGGGAAGAGGTAGAGAAGAGGGAGCATGAGAATACACGCGGGGTGGGGAGGAGAGGAAGCGGGGAAGTCGGGAGAAGAGGGAGTGCGAGTGTAAGTATTAAGTTGGACAAACCCAGAATACTTCCCCCGTAAGCACCCCCGAACCGCACCGCGCACCCCCCCCCAACAGGGACTCACAGCCCAGAGGGTGGAGCTAGCCCGTCCCTGGAGGCGTGGCCAGCCTCGGGACTACTGTGAGCCAGCTAGGGACAAGCAGCGGAGAAGCGGACCCCCCTCCCCAGTTCAGCCAGTGGCACCTCAAGGGGCTAGCCTGGCTGCCAGGGCCCCCCAGCAGATTATGTAAGGGCTCATGCCGCTGCGGCTCATTTGTCCGCCCCCCTTTCCCCCCGGCCTGGCGTGGCGCCAGAAGCCCGAAAACCCAGGGCTCCAGAAATCAATCTCGCGGTGACTGATTAAGCCCTGTTTAGAACTAATTGCTCTTTCGTGTGTGGGGAGAATAAATTACCTGCTTTAATTTCGCGTCTTTAAAATGCAACTGCAGGTAGAAAAGACTGTTAACCCTTTGCTGGGAGGGCCTGGCCAGAAAGAATAGGCTGGGGGGGTCCTTAACGTGGGTATAGGTGAGAGACTTTTGAGGAATCGCTCCCCAACTACTCTAAGCTCCTGAAAACTCCTAGGAAACCTTGGATCCCACAAAACCCCTCAGCAATCACCTTTGGTTATGCAGACCTCACACTCCACACCTGCCTTAAGGAGAGTCAGCTCTCCAGTGTGCCAACCCCAAATGACTCCCCTGCCACAGGGATCCCCTCAGCTGCCTCCTAGTGGACTTTTCACACAAACCCCATTTACACACAAGATCTAGGCTCAGAGAGGTGAGGAGGCCTAAATCACCATAACTTTCCGATGTCCCTTGGTACCTCCCTGGCTTCATCATGCCAACCCTGTCCATATCCTCTTCTTAATTTCTGCCAATTTGCAGTGCTACCTGGCCTGCTCCGGCCAGGCTTGTCCTGGAGACACAGGAAGGCGGGAGAGCCTACAGGTACCTAGAGTAAAACTTTGTCTGAGCCTCACACCTGGTGGCCTTGACCTCCCTGCTCAGGGATTGCTATGGAAACAGCCTGGGCTTGGCTATCAAGAGGCCTGGGCAGAGTGCCAGGCTTTCTGGTTCCTAGCTGGGTGCCGGTGGTTTCTGAGCTACTCCGAAAAAATGACTAGTCATAACCACCTGATAAAGCCGTTAGGTCATTCTATGAGCTAACACGTGTGGTTAAGTATTGGTGAACATAAGTGCTCATAAATGTAGGGTAAACCCCTCACTCTGGCTAGAAGGCCTCACCTGTTAGGTCATTCCACAGACCTGCCGTCTGTAACTCCCTCACATGCTACCCTGAGCACAGCTGTGCTACACACCAACCTCTTGGGGAAACTGGCATTACCCCATTTTATCTACCAGGTGACAGAGACCCAGAGGCATGATGTAACTTGCCCACAGTCCCACAGCTGGGCAGCTATGCCAGGCACTACCCCAGCTCTCCCCAGACCATGGACCTGCTTTTAACCCATTAATCCACTGAGCCACACTTCTAGTCAGCCACCGTATTGTGAAGGCTGTGGAGACTACAAGTCATCAGGAGTGCCCTTCTTCTGCCCAGGGCACCCTCTGATCTCATCCCAGCTCTTGGTCTTAGCTTTACTCTTTGGGGCCTCTGGCTCCCTATGTCTGGCACTTTCTAGTATTGGGAGCAACAGCTGGGGCTTGCCAACTCTGCCCTGCCTGGGTTCTACTGGGGCCTTGAGAGGCGGGGAGCTCAATCCCCAGGGAGTGGTGTTCTCTCAAGTGGATAGCCATTTCCCATCCGGCCCCTGCACCTGGCTCCCTGGCCCCTCCCCCACACCTGTGTTCAAGGGCCCAGGAGGCTTCAGTTCTCACATAGAACTGTCTAGCTTGCCAAAGGCTCTACCCTCCTAATTTCTCCCTTCTCCAGCTGGAGTGGGTCAGGCAACAGCTTTTTATCAATGTCATTTTGTGCTAGCCTGGCTCAGAGTGCTGGAGGAGAAGGGAAGACACCACCAAGTACCAGCACCTAGTCAGCCTTGGGTGCTCAAAAAGCTTATCTCACATAATCATATCAGACTCCGTAAGGTCAAGCTTTGAGATGCCTATCTCAAGATGAGGAGAGAGACAGACTCAGAGACTGAGTTGCCAAGGTCACATAGCTTGTTAACCATAAAGCCAGGCATTAAGTTCAGGTTGCTCTTACTCTGAGTCTAAAGGACATTATATTCTGTCATAGGACAGAAAAGCTGGTCACAGAATTCTCGAAGAATGTTAAGAAGTCAGGACTCCAGTGCTTCTCAAACTTGCCACTTAAAATATCCCTAGATGCCTGTGACACAGGAAGCCTAGGTCAGAATTTCCTACAAAGACTTGTGCTTCCCTTTTAGAGGTCAAGGGAATTTTACCTGTACTTCATAATGCATTTTCTTTTTTAAAATTTTTCTGTCTTTTTGCAGTACTAGAGATTAAAACCAGGTCCACTGAGCTATATCCTGAAGCCCCCATACTTTCTTCATTTCTTTATAAATCTTAAAAAATATTTTAGATTACATGCTCTAGGCCAAGACATGTTCCAGGCTACTAAAGGTTTGCATCCTTCCTATGATTCCCTCCAGTCAAGAACATGGGAGCTCTAGCCCCAGCCTGACACAATGGCTGATGTCAGAGTAGCGGTATGAGTGTAGACCTCCTGACCCCCAGTCTGGTTTTCTTCTCAATCTACCAGTCCTGACCTCGGGCAAGTCCCTCTGCCTCTCCAGGACTGTTTCACTCCCTATTATACACTGATGACAAGGGCCAATTGTATTCTGGGAACCTTTCTGGTTTGACAATGAAAATTCTTGGAATCATATGGTCTAGAGTTCTCAAATCTATCTGTCTATCTATATGCATACATACATACATACATACACATATTTTTAAATCATTGGAACTTGGTAAATGCAGTCTAATACAAAAACTGAAGTTCTAGGTGCTGGACCATCAGAGCAGGGGGTAGGATTATCTGGAGCCCTATATACTCATCACCTTCCCACCTCTGAAAAAAACATCCTTAGGGAGGGATTCTGCAAGCCAGATGGATGAGACAGCTGAGGCCTGGGGGAAGAATATCAATGCCTTAACCAGAGTCATGCAGGGAGGTGGCTTGGAGCTAGATAAAGACCTAGGCCTTTGAGTGCTGAGCTGGCCTCTGTACCAGGCATGCAGCAGGGCTGTGTTCAATGACAGAAGCCCAAGTCCTTCAGCCCAGTATGGCTCCTCTGGTAGCAACCAGAGCTCCCCACCAAAATCCAGTGGCAAGTGCTGATCATAAATCTGGCTTGCATACAAAGCCTCTTGGGAGGCCAGAGGCCATGGAGAAAGCGAGGGAGGTAGAGGAGGGAGACGCCTCTGCCAGGCAGCAGTAACCAGGGCTCCTTCTTAGAGTCGCTAAGCAACCCACCACCACAGCCACAGCCCCAGCAAGCCTGGGCTCCCCTGGTGCCAAGAGCTGGGCCTGGCTTCTGAGGCCTTCCACCTTCTACACCTACATCCAGGCCTGGTACATGTTCCCAGTGGAGATAGGACCTCCCAGATTTGAGGCTCTAAGGAGAGCATCTGGGGTCTAGGTAAGGAACAGTGGGTTACACTCCATGCTCATCCCATTCTCCCCCAGAACCTGAGCCAGGAAGAACAGAACCCCAGGCCTCTCTCATCAGGGAGAGGAGACTGGTGAGGCTGGCACAGAACAGAGTGCATGAGTTCTGGTGTTGGATCTAGATGCCAGCTTCAGTTCCAAATACCACGAAGAGTACAATCCTGGGCCAAGATGCTTTGAAGCTCAAGCAGCTACCTGCTTCCACCTTCACTTCCTGCAGCCCTCCACACAGCAGCCAGAATGATCCCTTAGGTAATAAGGGGTCCCTGCCATCCCAACCCAGACAGTGCCATGGCACACAAGCCCCTCCGTGACTTTCCAGTGTCCTACTCCATCCCTCCCACATGTTCCTGGACTCTGGATCCTTCGGCTCCTAGGTTCCTTGCCCCCACATGCCCCACAGAACTTGCATCTCTTTCATGTCTCTGTTCAGGTTTAGAAGGCTCCTCCTGCAATAAGGCCCATCTCGGCCACTCTTAAAAACTGTTCCTCTTCCCTGCCATCTCTTGATGTCCTTATCCCTCTGAACTTTTCCAAAACAACCAGCACTTTCTAAATGAATACAGGTTAGACATTCCTAACCCCAAAATTCTAAATTTGAAGTGCTCCAAATTCTGACACTTTTTGAACACTATGGTGTTCAAAATTTCTGATTTTACAGATTTTAGCTTTCAGATTTTTGGATCAGGAATACTAAACCAGTAAAGTGTATGCAAATATTTCAAAATGCGAAAAACTCTAAAATCTGAAACACTTCTGGTTCCAAGCATTTTGGATAAGGGATACTCAACCTATATATAATTTATTTATCTTCTGTTTTAATTATTGCCTGGCTGCCCTTCTAGCGGGATATAACGTTAGAGATTGATGATTTTTGTCTTCATTTTTATTCTGTATCTCACACGTTTGGTGCATAGTGGGCACTTAAATGTGTACAGAATTAATGAACGAGTGAAAAAAGGAAGCATAACACTGTGCTATGCATGAGTGCCAGAGCTGGCACAGATTAGGAGCTTTTCCCTCGTAGGCTGAGGAGAGACCATAGGACAGAATGAGAATCCAGTATGATGGTGGAGAAAGTCAGGAACAGCATGAGGCATGGAAGGAACTACAAGCAGAAGGAAGGTCTGAGACAGCTGGGGAAGGGCTTACAGGTGCATGAGGCAGCTGTCCTGCCTTGCCCTGTCCCCACCCCAACTGCTCCCCAGACTACCCCAGCTCCATCA